TGAAGAGTATAACCTTTTGAGTCTAGGAATAATTGGAAAGTACCACATTTTTTTAATAGAAATCTTTTTCTCAACTCCCCTCCTAGTGATAATCTTGTATCGATCCATGCCGCATATCAAACAATTAGTTATATTTTTAGATGAATTTTCATTATAAAACAACATGCATCCGTTTGGACAACAATCAATTTTGAGACAACCCAAACCCAATTTTATCACTGACTTTTTAGCTTGGTTAAAATTTGTAGCCATTCGATGATCTTCTGGCATAGTCTCTCCTATAAATTGGACCATTCTATTAAAACATCCTTCAGCCATATTATAATCAGATTTCAAGCTTAGAGCTTCCAAAGATGCTGACAATTCAGAGTGATGTGTACATCTTTCCCACAACGGTGCTTGCGCAGCAGCAAACATGTCAAAGAATTTTTGAGTATCAGGATCAGGGTTTTCTGCCATGTCCTCTTCTCTAATTTCAGTCTCGGTTTGAAGTTGGTATCCAAGTGATGGTCCGACATGATCCATAATCATTTGATGGAAAAGACCTAATTCTTCCCTTTGTTGAAAAGTTCCATGTGATCTCTCAACAACCATTGCAGGAAATTCCGGCGACTCTTTACCATGGTTTGTCCACCAATAATAATTAGGCATGAATCCCTCTTGATAAAGATCCCATGCAACTTGATCAACAAACTTGAAAACTTTACACTTACATTTAACACAAGGACATCTTAACATTTCACCTTATTCTTGAAACATAGGTTAAGCAATAACATATTGTAGGAAATGATACACTCCTTCTCTAAATTCATCTGTTAGATGTTTGTTACCATCCAATCTTTGATACATCCACATTCTACCAACGGGGATCTCCATTCTTGCAAACTAACTACAACAATCAGCATAAGTGAAACTGCATTATTCACTTTATGTGATGCAGTACTTATGTTTTTCTATTCTTGCAAATTAACTACAACAATCAGCGTAAGTGAAACTGCAGTACTTATGTTTTTCTAATACATTTTTTCCAAGGTGTTTATCCACTACTTATGCAGTACGTATGGTACTTATGTTTTTCTAATACATTTTTTCCAAGGTATTTATCCACTACTTATGCAGTACGTATGGTACTTATGTTTTTCTAATACATTTTTTCCAAGGTATTTATCCACTACTTATGCAGTATGTATGATACAGACCACCAAATAATTGTGTAAGTAAACCCAATAATTATGAAATTTCTTTTCACTAAGATCCAACAGATAATTAAAACAAATTACAAATGGTTAACCTGAGGGCGTATAGTCTCAACAAGTTCCCAAATTGGTCTGTCAAGCACCACCAAATCCACATTAAGAGGGATCCAAGAACCTATCTACTTCACAAATCCACCTACAACAAACGATAAAGAAATTCTGTCAAAATTATGTCTCCTATATTATTCACAATGCAAGAGAATAACAGTATATAGTGCCACCTTTCTTGGGCCACAAAACAATGCAAGAGAATCACATAGAAATGTTTGTTTAAATACAAGTATATATATATATATATATATATATGGAGTGAATCCCATCCCAGATGAACCAGACATCAATTCACCTGGTAACAAGTAACCATTGAAGGTCGTTTCGGTGGCAGAGGCTGCGGAGGAGGTTAAGAAGAGAGGTGTGGCGCGGTGGCTCAAAGGGTGGCGTGCGGTTGACGAGGAGCTTTGATGGAGGTTGGATTAGGGTGAGGGCTGACTTGGGGGGAGCAGGGAGGGGGCTAGGGCTCGGGGATGACTACAGAGTGGGTGCTGGGGTGGCGGCTAGGGAAGACTAAGAGAAAAAGAGTGAAGGTCTCGGGGGGGGAGGGGTTTATTAAAAATAATATTATATTTTTAAAAATAAATTATAGCGGTTCCACTGGAGCCACTATTAAAAGTAAATCTCTAATAGCGGTTCCACTGGAACCGCTATTAAAAATGATTCTCTAATAGCGGTTCCACGTTAACCGCTATCTAATATAACTTTTATATAGCGGTTATAGTGAAACCGCTATTATATATTTTCAAATATGATGGGTTATTTGAAAATGTAATCGATCTTAATGGTTGTATATGATAGCGGTTCCACTCGGAAGTGCTCTTAAAACAGAACATCTAATAGTGGTTAAACCTTAACCGCTATCTAAAATATAGTTTAGATAGCGGTTAACGTGGAACCGCTATCTAAAATATAGTTTACATTAACTATTTTTTTGAATATTATGTTTTTAAATTTGGTAATACAGAAAACGTTTCAGAAAGCAAAATGTTAAATACTTTTAAATATTAAAATTCACTTTATAAAAAATTAGGAAAAAAAATTAATCAAAAAGAGTTAAAAAATGTATTATAATATTTTCAGTTTTAGTTTAATTATATTTTTCATTCTCAAAGTAGAAAAATATATTATAATTATTTTAATTTAATAAAATATAATTTAAATTTTTAATACTAAAATTAAAAGATTAAATAATAATAAATTTAATTCTTTAAATTTAGTATTTAGAAACTAAAATTATAGTTTCTCTGTTTTAAAAAATTAAAATAAATATTTAAAAATAAAAATCAAAACTAGTATTATCTTAAATTTATTAAAAGTATAATTAAATCTCTATTTTCTTTAGTTTTTCTTTTTTTAACTTCTCAATTCTGCATTTTTGTCAATTCCATCATTATATTATCATCCTCATCTCCTCCCATGTTCTACTTTATGTTTACAATAATTAATATTCTTAAATAATTTATATTTTTATTTATAATTTTTTAATATATATTTGAGAAATTAATCAATTATAATCTATTATTTGAAAAACTAATCAATTCTAATCAATTATTTACAAAACTAATCGATTATAATTAATTATTTGAAAAAATTATCCAATATGATGTGTTATTTAAAAATGTAATCGATCATAATGGTTGTATATGATAGCGGCTCCACTTGAAGCGCTCTTAAAACAGAACATCTAATAGCGGTTAAACCTTAACCGCTATCTAAAATATAGTTTAGATAGCGGTTAACGTGGAACCGCTATCATATAGGTTGAATATAAATTTAAATATATTTTTAATTTATTTAAATATGGTTTATTTTTAGTATTTGTAAAATAGATTAGTTTTAAATTTGTAACTTTTCTAGCAGTCTATTTTTAATCTTTGTTATTAATTATGTTAAAAATGAAAAAAATATTAATTAGTATACTTAAACTAATGTATATTGATTATCTAATGTATATTGATATAATTTTTTTGTATATCAATTATATGAAAATAACCATGGTTAAGTAATTAATAATAATAAAGCAATAAATTTAAAGATTAGATTAAAAATAAAGTTTTATAAAATAAAATTGTAATAATTTGATTAAAATTTTATTTTCTTAATTAATTAAGTTAATGAGGAATTAAAATGTGATCATTTGATGTGTTTAATTTGTTTAATATAACTTGTTAAAATATAATTTAATTTCAATTGAAATTTTCAATTCAAAAATAAATTAAAGAATATTTATTATTAAGCTTTTCTTAAACAATGTATTGAATAGTTAATATTACTCTAGTCTTAATTTATTACAATTTAAATTTTTAATAAATTTGATTTATTTTTAATAATATTTTTATTTTAGTAATTTAAAATTAAAGTTAATCTTCATTTTGTTAATATTGAGACCAAAGTTTATTTTTAAAGTATCTTTTAAAAATTAAATTATTTTTAGAAAATAAATTACTTTTAAAAAATAAATTGTCAAAAATATACTAAAACAATTAAAGTATATTTATAAAAAAATAAATTTAAATATCATAAAAAAATAATGTTCGTTAGCGATCGATTAAATTCGATCGCTATTTTCTAATTAGCTCCCGATTATTATTCAGTCATTATTTCAATTTGTAATTCGATCGCTAAATTAGTCGTTAAATGATTTTTTTTATTTTAGTGTGGAATAGCCACCGATTTAGCGATCGAAAATTTGTGAGGCAAACTATTGGTCGCTATTTCGGTCGCTAACTAAAAATGTGAAGCCAAATTATATTTTGGTGGCTAAATTGGTCGCTAAATTGTGACCAAATTAATTCGATCGCTAATTCGGTTGCTAATAGCGACCGAATTAAATCCGTCGCTAAATTGGTTACTAATTGCGATCGAATTAAATCGTTCGCTAAATCGGTCGCTAATTGCCACCGAAAAAATTCGGTCGCTAATTTCGGTCGCTAAATATGTTTTTTCTTGTAGTGTGTTCAATATCAATATTTTGTTAATAAATGAGAAATCCTAATCTCATTTATATTATCATAATATACATAAGATCAATTAAGTAGGATTAATTATTATATTTAAGATATTATCCACTTTAAAATTTTAAACCGTTATATTTTATCTGGATAGATTAAAAGAGACTATATACATGAAATAAATTTGAGGTGAATTCTTAGTCCATGTATTACTTATAATCAATGATAATCTATTATATTTTTAAAAAAAGATGGTATGTTAATTGATTATAGTTTGGTCTGGACAGGTGCAAAATAAACTACGATGGAGGCTTCATGTTCATTTCATCTGAAAGATACAGATTGTTAACATTTTTTCTTTTTCGAAAACAAGCTAGTGTATATGACATTCATAGTTGTTGATTATTTTTATTATTTAAAAAAAAGAGAGACTAATATAGTATGATTTGCTAAAATATTTAAAATGTGTTTCTTGTTCACACAATCTTTTTTAAATATAGTAAGGACATATTAATCTTTTCTTAAAATATCAAAAATTAAAAATCTGTATTTTATATATTAACCAAAAATTTTGCCGTTGTTAAACAGTAGTATATACATTGACATCAAGATTGTAAAGAGAAAGCGCTAACACAATTTTATAAACTTGTCATTTGGTTTTGACATTTAGTTTTTCCTTATAGAATAATATATTTTTTTTTTACGTAATAAATATTACAACATAACTGCATGCATTTACTTTGTCTTTACTACCCTTGAATAAATCCAAACCTGAACATCCCAATCCCAGAAAGGACCCTGAAACAAATCTACTAGAAGAATTAAAAAAAATACTAAAGAAAATAAATATTCCTTAAAAAACTCAAAATATATCAAGAATTAGTATTAATATACAGTAGAGAGCATGATAACAAAAAAAAAAAAAACACCAAGAAAGCATTGGAGAGCAGAGCTTTTCAATCTCCTAATTATATATATATATATATATATATATATATATATATATATATATATATATATATATATATATATATATATATATATATATATATATAGTCTTTGTTTAATTAAAAGTAAAACTCTCAAATCTAAAAGGTAGAAGCTTAAAAAACTTAACAGTTGGCATCACCACGCACACAACATATGATCCTTGAATATTTGGCTCCATTTGGCATAAGTGAGACTTGTGGATTGACATATATAATAATTTTAAAAAATATTTGATATATTATAGAGTTGATATACGATTTTTCATATTTTTTTTAGAATTTTAATTTATAAATATTAAAATAAAATATAATAATAATAATTATTATTATTATTATTATTATTTTAAAATAATTATTATAAATTTTAATTAGATATTTTATATTTGATAAGTTTAATTCTTATTTTCATAATTTTTTTACTTATTTTTAATATTTATTTAAAATATCAAACTCATGTTAATTTTTTATAATTATAATTATAATTGTAATGTTATGTTATTAAGTATTATAATATTTAAAAATTGAGATTAATTTTTAATTTATTAAGATGTAATTTAACAACAAAACTCTGTGATGGATTAGAGCTTAAAAATAAATAATATCTTGGGTATAAAAATTGATTCTATTTCAATTAAAAATAAAATCTTATCAATAATACATAAAGAAAAAAATCTTAATATTAAAAATGAATAAACCTCAAGATTTGGGGAACGCGAGGAAGGGCTTAAAGGGGGCTATGAGTCCGTGACGGCTTTGGCAGCGGTTCCGGCCGCACTCCCATCCCTATTTTTATTTAAATGTATGAAAATGAAAGTGAGGAATGTGAACATCTTCTGTGCACCTCTGAGATTGGTAAACACTGCACCACCTATGCACTTTAATCAACTTGCATTCAGAAGTCGATGTCTACATTACTACATAATTTATTCATATTGCTTCTAATTCCACGTTCACAAGGCTAAGTACAATGAATATGTCTAACTATTTATATCCCTCATCATCCAAATAAAAATCAATTGAGTAAATATCTAAATTAGCCCCTGAAATATCGAAATTATTAAATTATTCTGAATCACCATTTTATTTGATTTCAAAATCAATCTTATATGATATATTTTAAGTATTATTATTATTATTTTATCTTAAATTTTAAATATATATTATTTAGAGATTAATATAAGCAGGACAAAAATAATCACAAATCTTAACTAATGATTTTGGGATAAAAATATATTATAAATAAAAATATTAAATAAGAAACTAATTTTATAAATATATAAACATACATATTTAATGATTATTAAATTTAAAATATTAAAATTATAAATATACATACAAATTAAAAAGTTTAGGATCCGTTAGCCCTCACTTCTAAAAAATCTCTACAGCTGACTAAGAATGAGATGATACTTCAAAATCATCAAATGATTTATAAGAAGTTTTTTATTAATAAATTAGTATTTTGATACAAACTCTATAATTATTACTTTTCACAACTAAATAAAATACATTTTATAACTACTTTTAATTTAAAAAAATTATATTTTTAAAATTCACATTAAAATAATATTTCTATTAATACAAAACACTTATTGGAAAAAGTTGGAGATTGCTCTAATAATTAACATGTACATCATTGGTGAAATATAGTAATGATATCGATGTAAAATTATCAAGTTATGGACTACCGTGGTTATTATATTATATTATATTATATATATATATATATATATATATATATATATATTTTTTTTTTTCACAACTTAATGCATTTATTAACTTTTTACTGATCTTAAAAAAAAAAAAAAGTTGTTCTGAGTTCTATATAAAACTTTGAAACAAAATAATGTGGGTGGAGATACTGCAGAAAGAAATAATGATGGGCAACAATGGAGAATTTGATATGAATATCCAAAAGGATCCACTCAGAAAGCTCCCTTTCATGAAATGTCAATTGCACTGGAAACAAGTTTTTGTCCTCTTTGCTTCATCATTGAGCAAATCTCACACATAACATAACTCAATCTCACTTAAATGCATTGAATGATGACAAGGCAAACCTGTGAGGAACAAGAATATGGTTTTCTGGATCTGAATATATATCGGTGGCAGCACGTTCTACTTTTCAAAAAATAAAATAAAAAAATAAAAAAAAGTTGAAGATGACAAAATTAAATGGAGATGCAGGGGATCGAACCCTGTACCTCTCGCATGCAAAGCGAGCGCTCTACCATTTGAGCTACATCCCCTTGATGTAATTCTCACAAGCTCATTAATCTATTTTTTATTTTATAAATTCGTGTGTTTAAGGATAATCATGCCAAGAAATTGGAGGCCCCTTTACCCGTAGTCTAACTTAAATGCTTTATATTGAGATCGGTTGATCTTTTCTACATAATCTCAACAAAAGTTACAAATTAAACTTGATGAAATGGATAAAAATAGGATAATATAAACATTTTGTATAATTGGATTGCTGGTAAAAAAAATTGATGTTTATCTTAAATCTTGCATTATTCAATTATGATTATCAAAATTATAGAAATATGATAAATTGGATAACATTCTTTTAGTTACTATTTTTTTTATAAATTTCTAAATTCTACTAGTATTTAAAACTATATAAATTTAAGTGATTATTTTTCAATAAGGATTTCAATAATTCAAAATTAGAAACTAGCTTAAAGCACATGCCAATCATAATCTATATTTGAAAAAAATAGCTAAAATACTAACTAATTATAAAATTAGCTTTTAATGACTAATAAATATAATTGATAACTCAAAATTGTTAAATCTTTAACTTAACCTATTTTTTGATTTTGTGTTTTTTTAGTTTGTTTTTAAAATTTATTGATTTTATATCAAACGTTTAATTTTATTAATCTCCTTGAGTTTAGAGTTCTTCATGGATTGACTGAGAGTTCTTCTTAGAATTAAAGAAAAATTTGAGAAATTTGACACAAGTGCATATTAGATCAACTCAAGAGTTATATATGAGTAAATTGAGTATATACACTTAGTGAGTGGTGATATGAATTTTTTTTTATGACTTGTGCTAACTTCTTTTTGTGGTATGTACTACTGAATAAGGTAGTGATGACAAGCAATTGAAACTTGAGATGAAAAATATATCATAAGGACTTGAATGATCATGATAATTATTTTTTTTCTATGTGTGTTAATTATAAAAAACTTGACAATTTAATTGAACATATTGATAATTCTAGAGTTTATTTATTTGAAAGTAAAACAAAAAAATCATTGTTCTTTATTTGAATTTGATTATGAAAGCTATAAATAGTCCCTTAATATTGGTATTGTTTGATGTTTTTTTACAGGTGGACATTTGATCTTATAGGAGATTTGTCCTTTTAATTTAGAAAGATTTTCTTGTATTTAGATTGCTTTCTCTTTTAGTTTAATTATTAATTATGCTTATGTGTTTGTGCATTGGTAATAAAGAACTAAATTCATGGAAGAATTTTCTGAAACTTGGGGATGATGAGTACTTGAAGGAGTAGATATATTTAAAATTTTAATTGTAATTTTTGGATTTTATTTTTTATAATTTCTTGTATTTGGTATTGTATGAGTTTAATTTTGTAATTAGAAATATTTTAGACATTAATTTTTATTAGGAATTAGATGCTTTATTAGATGGGCCTAATTAAAAATGGGTCTTGAATCTTAAAAGATTTTTATGGGATGAGTTGACCTTCATTAAAAAAGACATGATGGTTGTTGGTTAATTATGGGCGATTTCAATGTTATTTTGAGTGCAAGGAATGGTAATCCTCCTTTACATACCTCTTACTCGATTTTCAAAATTGGATGAACTCTTAAATATGATAAAAGTTCCAACTGAGGGTGTGAAATTTACTTGCTAAAGTCATTTTTAACCTCAATGGCAACAATGCACTTGATCCAACTGGTTTTGGAGATATCTTTTATCGGTCCGTTTGGAAGATAGTTGACCAAGACTTCTATGAAGTTGTTAAACAATTTTTTGACCAGAATTGGATCCTTCTAGGACATACCAAAAATCTTGTTTCCCTGATTAAAGGAGATGATATAAGGGTGAGATGTGGGGAATGGAATTAGTAGAGCCTCAAAATTATCTTTGACTAACGTGTTCATAGGGGCAATTTTGCCATAAAGTTTGGTATCCATGAACATTTTGATCTAATCTTGACTAGAATTTTATGCTTTCTACTCTAAATGCCTTTGGTTTACTTCTACTTACTGTTCCTAGATTGAAAGCATATTGCAGTCGAGCGTAATTTCCTTTGCCATTAATGGGCAAATTGAAGGTTGGCTTGTGAAAGAGGAGTTAGTTCAAGATGATCCTTTATCACCTCTGTTTGTCTGTTTTGTAGAAGTTTTCATCAAATGTATTACGTATCTTAAAAATAACAAGTAGATATTTGTATTGGGAAATAAAGAAAGATATAAAAACTCTAACCCACATTTTGTATGGTGATGATATTTCTGTATTTTACAAAACTAATTCAAGTTCGTTACATAATATCATGAAGTTTTTTTCACATGACCTTTCCCAAGTTCATCAGACATATAGAGGATAAAAATATTCTTGGGTTGGGTTTGAGAAAAGTGTCTTACCTCTGACCTATCTTTGCACACCACTCTTCAAAGGTACAACGAAAACTAATATTTTTCTGCTATACCTAATCAGATATGTAGCAAAGTAACCTCATTGAAAGATATGCTTCTTTCAATAATAGGATGATGTTGCAAATTGTGAACCCTATTATTTTAGGTATGTCCGTCTATAGCCTTCACTTATATCACTGATGTTAGGAGAAGGTTTGGAAACCTATTGAATAAAGCTAGTAATCTTAAATGAGCTTGGGATTTATACTTTACACACAATGGGCAGTTAAGATGCAGGCTAGTGGAGGCATTTTTCAAGATTACTAGGGGAATTTTCTTGGAGGTCTTTTTGCTTATATGGTGTGGAATACAAACATGCTAACTATTTATGGGATGCTAACTATTTACTTTGTGGTGGACCTTTGTTCCTAGTTATATAGGCTATAGTTTTCTTACAAACAATAATGGTCTTCGTGAGTATCATTTTATTTAGTTTTATTTTATTTCATGACTTTGGTCCCAATTCCCTCATGAGTTGTTTTTTTTTTCTTTTTTGTATATAATTTGATATGCTTTTTTACACTAGCTTTCATTTAAAAAAAAAAAATCTTACGACCAAGTTTAATTAATCTATACTACATTATTCAAATCATACATTATATTACTCTTCTTCAACTACTCAACAAAGGGATAAATTAATAATAAATCAATCAAGTTTACCTCATCATTTACCCATCTAGCTGGTCTAAGACAATTGAAACATTTTATAGTAATCTCAATATTATAATTATCATGGGTAATCCGGATTGTCCACCATGAGCTTAAGATACAAATTATACTCTCCTTCTTAACATATAGTCAAATCATAATAACACTACAAGAAAAATCATTATTAGCGATCGAAAAAAGCGATCGCTAATGACAAAAAATCGGTCGCTATTCAGTTAGCGACCGAAATAGTCGTCGCAAAAGGTCAAGTCGCTAATTTGTTAGCGACCGTTGCGACCGATAAGGTGGTCGCTAAATAATTTGGTTACTTATTTCTTAAGACCAAAATAGCGACCGAAATTAATATATTAAATCGGTCGCTAAATTGATGGTAAAGTTAAAAAAAATAGCGACCGATATATTCAGTCGCTAATATATTAATTGAATTATTTAAACAATAATTAAAATCAGTCACAAAAATAGCGACAAAAATTAATATATTAGATCGGTTGCTACATTGGAGGCAAAGTTAAAAATAATAACGATCGATATAATCGGTAGCTAATACATTAATTGAATTATTTAAATAATAATTTAAATCGGTAGCTAAATCGGTCGTAAAAATAGTCACGAAATAATTTTGGTCACTAAATTTCAATTGTATATTATAATATATTTGTAACGACCAAAAATTCGGTCGCTAATCTAATCAAATCTGAAAATTTTTGTTTAAAATTTTGTATATCCAATTTTGCAAAATTTGTACCTGCTTAATTGATCCAAACAGAACACAAATGAAAACTTAAGAAGTAAAGTCAAATTATTCAAATCATAATAGGAACAATTCAAAGACATGCAAACACTCAAGATTCAAAGTCTTAATATGATAAAATTGGAAATTAGTCCTTTGGTATATTGTCAGTATCATGTTGACTTGTAGTAGGATGACTAGGGTCAGGCATAGGATGACTATTCATCTGAATATGTTGTAAAATAAGCTGCATCTGCTTCATCTGCTCATCTTGTTGGCGTTGATTGTTCCTCAACTCCTGCATCTCTTCTTGAAGTGTCTTCTCCTTATTATGCTTTGCCACCAATTCAACATTTAACTTTTCAATAGTCTCACGCATTTGTTCAATTTGATGAAGTACTGGAGTTTGGCTAATATAAGATTGAGAACCTGATGTTGTAGTGAACTTTTTGCTCAATGTACCAAGTCCATACACGTTTCCTTTTTTATTTTCACCTCCAACAACTGAAAAGTATATTTCATTATCATCAATGGAGACAATAGGAGACTCTTGTGAAGATGAGCCTTCACGCAAGTTATGTTGATGGACTTCTTCTCTGCGTTGCATATATATTGCTCCTAAAAATGAAGTGAAATATAATTATTATGAAGAAAACATATATCGAATAATAAACTATAAATTAGATGTTAAACATACAGCAAGATAACGAGTCTTTTCATTGACCCATTGTCCAGTCTTTAATTTCTTTGTCCTCTCAACAACCTCCCAAACGATTGGTTCCCGTTGAAACTCCGTAGTCTACACATTAAAAATGAGACAAAATTCACTACCTAAAGTCCAATATATTGTATTAAATTACTTATATAAAAATATAATAAACTTACCATCTTCTCTAAGTGAGCTGCAGTAGATATGGAACCCTCACAGTAAGCTGAGGCACCCTTATCAACAACCCGATTAGCCTTGGCAATGACACTCTTGTTTTGGAAATCTGGAGAACTCCAATGTAGGTCCAAGATGCTCGAACAGTTGGCGATATCCAAATCCCCTTATCCTTACCATTCCTAACTTTGTTCATTGAGTTTTTAAAATTCGAGAACCTTTCTTATCAAAAACAGATCTTATGGCTTGCTCTTGTTCCACATCCCAGATATACTCTTTCTGCATAAAAAAAATATACAGAAAACATTTAATTTATAAGAATGAAATGACATTGTTTAATGTAACTATAATTCAAATTACCTTGAACTCTCCAAACCATTTATCTTGAAGCTTAAGTGAAACCTTTCGCCAAGTGGGACTTGGTTCATCAAATTTTTGTTTGATGATTCTAGAGATTATAGCAGGAGGACCATTTGCTGGTATAAACCTATGTTCAAACTAGGCATGGCAACAGGGCGGGGCAGGGCGGGTTTTGCCTCCCCGATCCCCGCCCCGACTTTTAACCATCCCCGTCCCGCCCCCGATCCCGCACGGGTTAGAAATTAAGTCCTCATCCCCGTCTCCATTGGGTTTCAGGTTCCCGCCCCGCCTCGCTCCGTCCTCGATCTATATTATTTTTAAAAAGATAATTACATTTATAATTAATTAATTTTACTATCTATTTTTTATATATAAATAAATATTTATAATTTATAATTTATAATTTATAATTTATAATTTATAATTATTATTAATTAAATATACATTTTAATTTATTATATTTATATTAAAATATGTATGTAAAAGAAATATTTAATTATTTTTTATTTATAACATTATTATTATTATAACATCTGTATTTAAATATTTGAATACTTATAATATTATTATTATAATAATGTATTCAAACATTTGATTATATATATATATATATATATATATATATATATATATAAGTTAATTCATTTTTAAGTTGTCATTTAAAAATATGAAATATATAATTTATAAGGAAATATTTAATAAGTTAATTCTTATTCAATTAGTTCGAAGTAATAAAAGTTTAAATTATCAATTCCTTTAATCCTTTAAAATACAATTATTTTATTAAGATAAAATTTGATGTATGATAAATAAGGACATAATAAAACCTAATAAATATACATTATAAATAAAATAATATTAGTTACTACTAAGATTTATGTAAAATATTTAGAAAAAGATAAAGAATAAAAAAATTAACTTTGTGTTCATCAAATTGGTTGAAAAGATTGAAAAAAAAAACAATTTGATGGAAGAGATTAAGGAAATGTGAAAAACTGAAAGGTAAGAGAAAGAATAATGTAATAAATTAATTGATATAATAGATTAAAAAAAGACAAAAAAATTAAAAAGTGGGTAGAAGAAAAAAAAATTAGTGAAATATAAAAAAATGACTTTACATGTAATAGAAAAAGAAAAAGAAATATTTTTAAAATATTAATATTTTAAAATTTAAATTTAAATATAAAGTCGGGCGGGGATGAGGTCGGGTGGGGATTGCATTACCCATCCCCGCCCCCACCCCCGACTTTTAAAGCGGGAAAAACCCGAACCCGCCCCCGTCGCCGTTCAACTCGGATTTTCCCCGTCAAACTCGGGGCGGAGACGGGTCGGTCCCCACGGGTACGGGTTTAATTACCATCCCTAGTTCAAACATATTGTGGGATTGATATTATTAAGAAATTGCATATTAAAGAACTATAATTAAATTAAAACATACTTACTCTCCTTTGTCTGCTTGTAACCATGACCTTTGATCAACCATATTGCCAGACTCAACCTCAGTCATGACTAACCCAGGTACCTGTGTAGGTTGACCAAATGCCGCCTCAGTAGAGAAGGTAGTAGGAATTGTTTCTCCTACTATAGCTACAGGATATTCTTGCTGAGTTGAGGGAGGTGTGCGTTCTATAAACATAGGATTAGTAGACTCCATGGATCTTGGTCGAACAGAACTAGGAGAGTTGGTGCTGGGTGAACCTCTATCATCAACAAGTACACCTCGACCACCACATTGAGGTGGTATACGACCACCACTTCTACCCCTTTGTGGCATCTACAAACGGATCTTATTACAATTGTAACATGCATAAAATTAAACAATTGAGACAATGAATTACCTGATATTGTTTTCTACACCCAAACGTGTCGAGTTAGCTTACCACTCATTCACTACAAATAATTAAATCATAATTATATCAATATATATATATATATATATATATGCAATATTAAATAAAGGTGTACAATCAAATTTAACAATTGTAAAAATAATTTTAATGCATGAATTACCGAAGTATCTGTATCATCAAAATCACTCTCAGTCTCATCCTCACTTGAAATATATTCATCCTCATCTTCATCTATATTTCTTTCATTTAGTAATTGTATATCTATTTCTTCTCCCCCACCATTAACATCAGCAAGGGAATCATCAATGAAGTTAGGATCAACACGAAGCACTACTTGAAGTCCTACAAGCTCATCATCTTGGTATGGAGTCTCATGCTCAACTTGACTTACTATATTATCAATGATTCTACTACGAGATTTTGTCTTTATTACACCCAACCAACCTTGGTGTCCCTCTGGATAACTTGTGTAATAAACTTGTTATGCTTGTTGTGCAAATATGAAAGGATCATATGCTTTATTATATCTTCGTGATTGCTTTACTTCCACGATTCCATACTTATTATTTACTTTGGTTCCTATATTAAGAGTATTGTCAAACCATTCACACTGAAAGAGAACTAAATTCATCAATGGCAAGCCAGTATACTCTAATTGAATAATATTAGACAATAATCCATAAAAATTTGACTCTAATTGACCATTGGTTCCTCATACATAAACACCATAGTTATAGGAATTCATGCCTTCACTCCAAACAATAGTGTGGAATTTGTATCCATTGATAACATACATAGGCCATGATTCAACTTTTCTCTTGGGACCCCATGCCAAATTAACCAATAATGGATCTTCAATATTATTTTCTGGATTTAGAACCTAAAGACAGCAAAGTCCTTTACACATTAGACTATGTAAGTCAGAATAAATATTTGTAAGACATATAAGTAAAAAACTTACATATTTTTTAAAGCATTTAGGAAAATGGGATGAAATGTCTTGGTCAATTTGGGAACCAGAAATAGTAGGATTTAGCTGTCTTAAATATTCAATATAAATACTGCAAACACGTAACAAATTACTCAAACCACACAAAGTAACATGAGTAATTTTGATGTGAGAGGAGTGAAAACATCTTACTCAAAATATGGTTGAACCTCTTCACAATTTTGAACAACATATAATTGGGCAACATCATAGTCTCTTTGGTGCAGAAAATATGTTTCGGATTTTCCAATTGGTCTTCTTGGGTAGTTGAAAATTGAAATAGGAGGAGGGGATGAAGAACCTTCACCTACATCAACATTTCTAGGAATCCTAGTCCTTTTTGTTTCAACATGATCAGGATAATAAAATGTGGCAAATGTAGATGTTTCTTCCACCAAGTAAGCTTCACAAATAGAGCCCTCCACCATAGCTTTATTCTTCACTTTCTTTTTTAGGGAGTGTAAGAATCTAAAAAAGAATACAAAAATGGAGTCTTTAAAGAACATATAAAATACTTTAGAAATGGAGGGTGAGTAGTTAGTGTAAACATACCTCTCAAAAGGATACATCCAACGATATTGAACTGGACCACCAACCTTTGCCTCATAAGGTAGATGAATTGGAAGATGTTCCATTGAATCAAAGAAGCTTGGTGGGAATATTTGTTCCAATTTACACAATAAGACAAGTATATTTTCTTCCATAACTCATAAATGTTCAATATTTAGTGTTGTGGAAGTCAATTCTCTAAAGAAAAGACTAAGTTCAACTAGTACTTTCCAAATTGATTTTGGCAATGAATCAAATGCAATTGGAAGCAATCGTTGCATGAACACATGACAATCATGACTTTTCATACCATGTAACTTTCTTTGATTCAAGTCGACACATCTACCCAAATTGGAAGCATATCCATCTAGCAATTTAAGTTCTTTAACCCACTTACAAATAGAGAGTCTTTTGGAATTGGTGAAAGCATATGCTGCCTTTGGTTTGATAAGTTTTCCACGTCCAATGTCTTTCAACTCTAGCTCTTTTCGATTACATATTTCAGCTACATCCAATCGAACCTTGTTTGTATCCTTAGTTTTGCCTTTGATATCCATGACAGTGTCAAACACATTCATGAACACATTTCTCTCTGTGTGAATAACATCAATATTATGAAGTAAAAGTTGGGTTTTCCAATATGGCAACCTCCAAAAAATACTTTGTTTCTTCCAATTATGTGTAATACCATATCCTGCAATATTGTCTACTTGTTGTAATTGATAGCAAACTGGTAAGTGTGCCACCCTATTCCAGACATCAAGATTAGATAAACGTGGAGGAGGGGGACCAGTCTTAACAACCTTCTTCTTGAATGCCTTTTTATTCCTCCTAAATGGATGGTCTTGTGAAAGAAATTGACGGTGACAATCAAAATAGGAGATCTTGTGGCTATGACTAAGAGAAAATGTCTTTGTTCTTTCCATACATATAGGACAAACAAGTCTACCAGCAGTCGTCCAACCTGATAACATGCCATAAGCTGGAAAGTCATTACTTGTCCACATCAAAGCAACTTTCATCATAAAATTTTGCCTCAATGACACATCATAAGTCAATATCCCTTCATTCCATAAGGTGCACAAATCATCTATAAGTGGTTGCAAGAACACATCAATCTTATGCTTTGGATTTGAAGGACCTGGAATTAAAATTGTCAAAAACATAAATTCTCTCTTCATGCACATGGTAGGTGGAAGATTGTATGGAGTTAGGATAATCAACCAACAAGAATAACTTTTGCCATACTGACCAAAAGGGTTAAACCCATCTGCACATAACCCTAATATGACATTTCTTGGGTCTTGACTAAACTCTGGGTGAATAGTGTCAAAGTGGTTCCAAGCTTCCCCATCCGATGGATGACACATAATATTGGGGTCTTTTTCATTCTCGCTATGCCATCTCATGTGAGGTGCAGTGGCCATTGAAGAGTATAACCTTTTAAGTCTAGGAATAATTGGAAAATACCATATTTTTACAATAGAAATCTTTTTCTCAACTCCCCTCCTAGTGACAATCTTGTATCGATCCATTCCGCATATAAAACAATTAGTTATACTTTTAGATGAATTTTCATTATAATACAACATGCATCTGTTTGGACAACAATCAATTTTGACACAACCCAAAGCCAATTTTATCACCAACTTCTTAGCTTGGTTAAAATTCGCAGCCATTCGATGATCTTTTGGCATAGTCTCTCCCATAAATTGGACCATTATATTAAAACATCCTTCAGCCATATTATAATCAGATTTCAAGCTTAGAGCTTCCAAAGATGCTGACAATTCATAGTGATGTGTACATCCTTCCCACAACGGTGCTTGCGCAACAGCAAGCATGTCAAAGAATTTTTTAGTATCAGGATCAGGGTTTTCTGCCATGTCCTCTTCTCTAATTTCACTCTCGGTTTGAAGTTGGTGTCCAAGTGAGGGTCTGACATGATCCATAATCATTTGATGGAAAGGACCTAATTTTTCCCTTTGTTGAAAAGTTCCATGTGATCTCTCAACAATCACTGCAGGAAATTTTGGCGACTCTTCACCATGGTTTGTCCACCAATAATAATTAGGCATGAATCCCTCTTGATAAAGATCCCATGCAACTTGATCAACAAACTTGAAAACTTTACACTTACATTTAACATAAGGACATCTTAACATTTCACCTTGTTCTTGAAACATAGGTTGAGCAATAACATATTGTAGGAAATGATACATTCCTTCTCTAAATTCATCTGTTAGATGTTTGTTACCATCCAATCTTTGATACATCCACATTCTACCAACGAGGATCTCCATTATTGCAAATTAACTACAACAATCATCATAAGTGAAACTGCATTATTCACTTTATGTGATGCAGTACTTATGTTTTTCTAATACATTTTTTCTAAGGTATTTATCCAGTACTTATGCAATACTTATCTAGTTATTTGATGCAGTACTTACAACATTGACATAAGTAGTATTAAAGGTTAAACTAATGATGGAAGAAAATACGTTATTAAGAAAATCAGAGTTAAGTTTAATGCACCACATATTTACACCCACCGAAGCCCTATCTATATCTTTTCTTATAACCATTCATTTTGAGTTGACATCATTGAGGATGTATGACATTAATTATAGTCTCTTAATCCTGAAAAGTGACATAAAAATCCTAAAAATTGTCACTTGTTGTCAGTAGATAAAAGTCTTAGTGAAGATAAATATCCTAACGCTATATTAGAGTTTGAATTTGCAAAACATATGATATTTTTATATCAAGGAGTAGGTTAGGGTTTGGCTAGTCGGCATTGCGTTAGGGGCGTGGTGCTGACGAGGAGCACGGGGGCCTGCGGTGCAGTTCACCGTGGTTGGTGAAAGTGTGGGGCTGAAAATGGGAGGTGGAGGGAATTGAGATTTGCTGTGAGTGAGGAGCAGTTTCCGAGGGGTAAGTGGTGGCTGCAGCTAAGAGTGGGGAGGCGCGGCGTGGCTGTAGTTGCATAATGGCTGAATGGGCGTAGCTGGGTTATGATGGTGGCTTGGTTGACAGTGATGAGAGGGAAGGCAGATGTGTATGGGACCTGCGGGTGAGGGAAGAGATTGGGAGCAAGGGTGAGGTTTGGTGTGAGCCGTGGTTTCGGGAAGAAGCAGGGAAAGCCTGGTGGCCGGTGAGGGAGAGTGAAATGGGTGGCCGTGGAGGATTGTCGCCGCCGTCAAAACGAGGCGGTCGGAGCGACGCGATGGTTTCGACTTTCCATTTTTCGCGTTTTTATTAGTGTGGTTACAACGCCTTTAGGTTGTCCGATAACCGGGCTGAACCTAGGGGCGATGTTTTCGAAAGGGTGCTCTTGGATTGTCCGATAACCAGGCTAACCCAAGAGCTAGTTTTGAAGGGTTCTCTGGAGTCGCCACCGATGTTTTTACCGGAAACATCGGAAAAGGAGTTAAAAGGCGTTGGTTTTCGAAAAACCAACTTTGGTCGTTAGAACCAGAGTTGGTTAAGGGAGTTAGTTACGTGTAAAGGAAGTGTTAGTTCCTTTACGACGCCCCTTTCGGGTTCCCTATGATAGGCCAGCTATTTAAATGATTAAACCGGAAAAATACACTTTTACCCTTTTATTTGCGAAATTTAAAATTACGACTACATGGCCCTAGTATCTATTGCATAATTTAAATAAAGCAGTAAAAGATAGAGGGAGAAAGTAGAAACCTCCGGAGCAAGCTTTCTATTAATCTTTTGCAAATTAGGATGGTTTGCGGCAACCATTCACTCTACACAGTGTCAGAAACCTCTCGAAACGCTAAAAAACACTCTTAGAAACGCTCAGAAACTCCGGAAATGCTTCGGAGGGGTTTTAGAGAGAGAATCTAGTGATGTGACTAGAGAGAGAATGAGAAAGCTATGTGAAATGAGGGGAATGGAAGCCCTATTTATAGGAATTCGCGCCTGTCAGGTCGAGATGGGCCGTCTCGTCTAACAAGGTCGAGACGGTGGTCTCGCCAATCGAGACGGCGGTCTCGCCTTGCAGGAATGGCGAGACGGTCGTCTCGCCAAATGAGACGGCGGTCTCGCCACTTGCGCAAGGCGAGACGGCGATCTCGAATTTGAGAAGGTGGTCTCGACCCCAAAAGGCAAAAATCCTTATTTTTGTGCCAAAAATCCCTCCTATCCTAGTATGGGGCCTAATAGTCTCTCCTAGTGGCTTCTTAGGCTTCATCCATCTTTGAAAAGGAGGTCTTCTGATCTTTATTATGAGACCGGGCAAGATTTGGGGTCTACAGCTGCCCCCCCTTTACCTGACTAGTCGGCTGTTGGCCTGTTGTGCCAGACAGATCGACAGGAAGGTAAAGGAGTTGACCCTCTTGCCCGGTTACCCTTCGGATGTTCCGTCTTGCGGCGGTTGATCTTCTGGGGAAAACTTGTGTTTGTGCACTTCCGGGATACTCCTTCTGACGGTAGCCGATCCCTTCGGTAGACACGTGGTAGAACCTAAGGATACTCCTTCTAACGGTAGCCGATCCTTCGATTGATGGGTATAAACCCCCCATCAGGCTGGCAGTTGCAGTCCGCTGTGTGTTGGAATGGATGGGTATGAACCCCCCATCAGGCTGGTAGTTACAGTCCGCTGTGTGTTAGACTGGATGGGTATGAACCGCCCCATCAGGCTGGTGGTTGCGACTTACTGATCCGGCTCGAGCGCAGATCAGGCGCACTGCATGCGCAGGTTGATAAGTATGAACCCCCTATCAGGCTGGTACAGTCCGCTGCGTAGGACTGGTGGTAGTGGCGGCTTACTGTTCAGGTGGCTCATGCGCCGAGCGTTGAGATGTACTTTTTGTTGGTCTTCTCCGGAGATGTTGGTCGTCCGGTCTGCGCCGGGGATTTTGTGGGTGCTCATCCAGCTTGCTTTGTTTGCTAGGGATTCTTTGTTTTTGATCTTTTTGTGGTGATCACCCGACTCTTACTGGCTGGTCGGGCAATCTTTGTTTGTTGTTTGACTTCTTGACTTGTCTTAATCCTGCCTTTTTCTCGTGGTTTTATCTCTTTTTTCTCACGATTTAGGATTTTGGCTTTTTCCTCGAGCGTACGTCTTTTTACTCTTAGTTTTCTTTTTTGTTATGCTGACTTTTTTTTTTGGAAGAAGTAGCGGAAAGATGCATGGAAAAAAAATTTTATTCATACAATATTTTTATTACAGCCATTTTTTCAAGTACTATCCCTAAGGGCTATCTTCTGGTGATGATCCATGATAGGGGAATTGCTGGTATATATGTTCCCAGAATTCTGCTTGCTCCCGGGCTTCATCGCGGTATTCTTGCTGGAATGTTGTCCAGTCTTGCTGCATTCCCTGCTGATATTGGTACATTGTCTCCAGCCGGGTGTCAAAGGCTTCCTATCTTAAGGGCAGTTGTTCCTGCCGCACAGACATTTGATCGAATTGCTGGCGCAGATCGGAGATGTTGCGGTTTACGCCAGCAAAGTCGTCTGTGTATTGCGGTGGTTGTTGGTGCTGATGTGGCTGCTGAAAGTTGGGAGGCGTTGGGAGATCGTGCATCGCCATGATGTCCTGGAGATCTAGCGCGAAATCCAGCGAGGGATGTAGGACCAACTGGGTCCCGCGGTGTATCAGCATCCCCATGCTGACCAGGATCGACCCGTTGATGGATTCGGGTCATAGGCTGGAGGCTAGCTCTTCCCGGCCAGCGCACCCCCATTTCTCTGCCAGGGGAGTGATAAGAGGAGCCATAAGGACGACTCCCACTGGTATGCTCCCGAAGTCCTTAAGGGCCCTCAGGAAGAAGTAGCCAGGGTTGCAGCGTCGCCTTTGGCTCATGCAGTAAAGTATGAAGAGGTCTGGGAGGGTTACCTTACCCTGACTCTCCTTCCTCCCGTGGACAGTCCCAGCCAGCAGCTTGTGGCAAATGCGGAGGGCTGGGGAGAGTGTTGACCCCTTCATCAGCGTGGGTAGCGTGGGCGACCTTGTGAGCTCCTCCCACATTTCAGTGGCAGTGAGGTTGGTAGGCCGGCTGCAGATGGCCTCCCGATACTCCCGAGTTAGTACATCCTCGGGCCGGATGAACCCAATACTCACATTGAATTCGTCGAGGGTGGTAGGTATGTCCCACCAATAAAGTAGTTCACCATCTTGGTGGGTGGCAGGCCCGGGACCATGGAGGGAGCCTCGGCATAGGAGATGGAGGCCAAGAACTCCAGTACCGCTTGAGGGTACACGTGGGTAGGTGGAGGCTGCAGCAGGAAGCCCCACCCAATGCTATCTATGTGGGCCCGGACATCGTCCTCCCACCCAAACTTGGTGAGGATGTTGTAGTCAAGCCTGAGCATGGGGTGCCACCTATAACCCCGGATGTGCTCGAGACGGGCTAGGTGCTGCGGCGAGAGCTGAGTAGGATCTTGGGGGGCTGGTGCCGAGGAACTGCTAGCGCCGGCAGTGCCTCTTCTCTTCCTTGAGGGGTTTCCATGGAACATATTGGCCAGGAAATGCTTGGGAGTGAGATATCTGAGAATTGGAGGTTCTGGGGTACAGAGGAGTTGTGAGGGATTCTCCACACGCCTCCCCTATTTATAGGGGAAAAATCAAATTCGGGACCGCCGTTTGGGAAGTCGAGACGGCAGTCTCAATTTTTTGCAGGTCGAGACGACCGTCTGGGATCTCGAGACGACGGTCTCGTTTTCGCCTAAGTCGAGATGGCGGTCTCGTTGGTCGAGACGGCGGTCTCGATTTGCTGAGGACCGAGACGGCGGTCTGGAAAGCCCAGACAACCGTCTCAAATTTTTGGTTATTTATTATTATTATTATTATTATTTTGAATGTAAAATAGGACCTGGTTCAAAAACATTCTATGCATGCAATGCTTGTATGTTTGATGTCCTATAATGCCTATTTCAATTAATTTTTCAGAAGGATTTAACTGACGTGTCTCGTCGTGTCGAGTGCCTCCTGATCTGCCGTGCTTACTCTTGGCTGTACCATGCCGAACTTCTTGTGACCGAAGGATAACTTGTTTTTCCTTTCTTTTTCCTTTTCTTTTTTGTAGAGCACTCTTTGTCATGTAGTGTCCCTTTTTCTCCACTCTAGGGGTTTCAATCCTCTTGTTGACTATACGCCTCCATATTCCCAAATTAATTATTAGAATATTGTTGCGAGGGTCAAGAGAAAAGAAGTAAGGGGATAAATTCAATGGCTTGTGTTTTAGAAGGTTGATTTTTATTTAGAAAGGGGTTTTTGTTAGAATGGTTGGCTATAGGGTTAGGCCTAGGTGTTTAGGTTTCGTCTAAGCAAACGTTTTTTCCCCTTTTTTTGTACTTGCGCCTTAGTTTTGTTTCCATTTCTTTTTATGGCTAGTTGATTTCCCTAGATCGCCCTTCGGGTTTTCGAACTAGGATATTGTGTTTTAGCCCTATCTTTTGTCTAGGTTCCTTCTTTTTGTATTTTTGGGGAATCCTAACGGACCTTATTTTGTAACCCTAACTTTTGCCTAGGCTACCCTTTATATTTGTTCGGGTGTCCTATCAGGTTGACCCTATCTTTTGCGTAACCCCCTTAGTGGGTTTCCTACCAGGTATTTTGCCCTTTTCTTTGGCCTTTGGCTTCTCTGGGCTTTTTCTTTTTTTTTTTCGTTTTTATTTTGTGTATTTATTTTTGTTCACAATATTGGCGAAGCATGACTTTCTTTATGGTGAGGTAAAACCTTATTTTTTGTGCTTCTAATAAACTAGCTTGACCGTAATGGCAATGGCGAATGTTGATTATTTAAATGCGCTTTTTATTCTTCTCCTTTTTTCGTTTACTTAGACAGGGTTATTTATGTGGTCTAGTCAGAAATAGAAAGAAGAGAAGCAGATAGTAAGAAGTATTCTTTATTAATTAATAAGGGAATATGTGCCCTAAAATGCCCGGGGGTCGGGCTAGCCCCGGGGGATAATCTCTAACAATCATGGGGTTTACATCCCTTAAATGAAGAAAAAGATTTCCTAATGACTAGGGTAGGTCTTGACGCTTGCACCCCTCCACTTCGGAAAATTTGCTTGAGTGTGCGGAGGGGAGACTTCCCTTTTCTTTTTTCCGCTCGGCCCTTAGTAGGGTCATATCCTAGGCCATACTTGTAAGGATTGTCTTTGAATTCTGGGGGTTCCCTCATGCCTTGGGAATCTGCCCCCAGTCCTTGGCCAGGATGGTAACCATGCTTCATCATCATGCGGGCTACCTTGGTGCTTTTGGAA